CTTAGCCTGGAGCCAAGCTCTGGGCTAAAGAACACATGTCATTTTAGGAATTCATGCAGATGCACCTTGACATCTGGGATGTGATCTGTCGCCTGCACGCTTCCCTGCTGAGCTAACAAGCAGGAGTGGGCACTGCTGATGCTGCAGGTGGAGAGCAAAAGGTTCTTCCCATTCATTCCAGCACTTTTGTCCAAGGTATGTGAATAATTGCAGGAGACCTTTTTGACAAATGTGAGCCTCTTCTACTGGTGTTTGTCCACATGTAACTCAGTCACCTCATTTTCCCCTCTGGTTGATTCAGAGGAGAGCTACTGCAATATTTCCTAAGTTATGGTCCCAGAAGGGATGGAGTTCTCCACTGAGCTGTTGTTTACCAGAGCTAACTCCTCTGTCATGGGAAAAGGCAGCCAAAAGTAAGTTACACATTGGTTTTTATTGTGTGATTTTGGAATGCCCCTACAGAGCCTGGTTTACACACATCTGGTGATCAATGCATGCTGAAATGCAGGCATGGAGAGTGGGGCTGGGGGGGATCATGTGCCTCAAGTCAGGACTGGTTGAGTTTCTCTCTCTGCAGTTACTCACTGACTGACTGCATTGGGCAAGAACAAATGAACATGCAGCAAATGTCTTATTTACATCAGATCCTTTTATGACTTCATGGTTTGGGCAATCAGCATCTGAGGCATCAGTACCACAGCACTGTGATTCTTGATGTGTTCTTGAGCTTTCCCTTCTGCAAAGCTGTGACTCATTTTCTCTGTTTGGAAGACACATGGAAGGAAGAAATGTGCCCATGATGGTATTTTTCACAAGATCTAATTCACACTGAAAAAAAGGTAAATTCTTGATGAACTACTTGTGCATCCTGTCCAGAACATCGTTAGGAATAATTGAATATGGGTGGTTGATGACTGTGAAATGCTGAACCATCACTATTCATTCCTGACATCTCCTTAAGAGCCCACTCAGAATCAAAGCAGAAACAATGGTGCAAAGCCAGGCTACTTTGAACCTTCAAGATTAATTTTTTGAGAAACTGTCTGTTGTCCAAGAAATATTTGCAGAAAATAACTGGGAGAATAATTTAGACTAGAGATACCTTGTGGAAAATTGTAAGCATCTGGGACACCATTCCTGAGGAGGGGAAAGTAGCCAAACCTGTTATTGTCTGTGACTTAATACTTTAGCTCTGGTAGCTGCATTGCTTTTGGTTTGATGGGGTTTTGTTGGTTTTGTTGGTTTTTTGAAAGAATTTACTCAAAAAAGAAGACATATTTTCCCTCTGGGATAAATAACCTCCTGTAATTGCACAACTCCACTGTTTTTTAATCAAGTCTGTGCACCCACAGTAAGTGGTCTTTGGTTTTCTGGCCAAACACCAGTATTTGCAAGCTACATGGAAAACCTTTCCTCTGGAGCTACACAGCACACCATAAGGTTTGTAGTTCCACAGGGGCTGATTTGTGCCAACCAGCAGCAGGGCATGATGTCAAATTCTGCAGAGTATAAGCCTTTACCCATAGCAGTACAACACGAATTTTCTAGCCATCCTATAAAAAATCCCTGTGAATACAAAGAAAGGCTGGCTAGGTTTCCTGAATTGCCTCTCAAGAGGGAGGAAAGACAGGGAGCAAGAGTGATCTTCTGTGCTAGCTTGCCTGTTTGTTCTTAAACCTACTGAGGCCCAGTTAAATAGTAATGCTGTTCAACTCCTCTTTTTGTCAATGAACTCCAGCTACTCTCAAAATGTGGTAGTTCCCACACACGAGGGACATCAGTAGTGTGTTTTAAATCTGACAAAGTCCTAAGAGCTTCCCCATTAATTTCTACCTGGGCGCAGCTATAAGCAGCATGAAATTTCCCCCCAAGCCTATGGCACAAGGTGGAGCCAAGCTGTCATCTCATGCTTAACCTAAGATGACCCTGGCAGGGCTGCCAAAACTTCAGGTCAAAGAGTTTCAAAGGGAGCACAGTGCTGAGCTGCTTTCATAGCAGGGGAAGGGCACAAGAGGAGCACAGATGAGAATGCTGTTCCACTTTCCTCTTTTCCAACTAATTTCTAAAGCAATGATATTGAGAATATTTTTACCCCCACATTAATAAAATGGAGCAGTTTTGGCCTGAAATCCCTTAAAGTGTAATTTTTTACTCTATTTTGCTCTTAACTTTAAGGCTTTGGATTTTTTTATTAATTACCAACCAACCACTCTTCAGCTGCAGTATTATCATGTGGGACAGAGCTGCCTCCAGAGGTTATTTAAATTAAACACAGACCTACTGAATAGACACCAAGTGCCAGAAGATCTTCTTTGGAGGGAGAACAGGGGAGAAACAACTTTCCAGTTAACATTACCAATGTGTTTCTGAACTGAAGGATGACACCTTTCTGACTTGAGGACATTATTGTCTTTCTCTGGCAGAACATGTGTTCTGAAAGCCTATAGCTGCTGTGTCATCTTCCAGCTGACATTTCGTGGGGACACTGCAAGCAAGGTACAGCCAGCCTGGCTTGGGATTGCACAGGAGACATCCAAGACAGTACATGTAATTCAGCTGGTATTACAACCCTGCCAGAGGCAAGGCTGACTCCAGACCCAGCCAGGGCTCTGTGCAAGTTTGCAGGTGAAGCCAACCAACCTTGTGGATGATGCACAGCCAGGGCAGACCCTGGGAAGGAGCTGAATTTTTAAATGCAGACAGGTTGTGCCTGTGACGCCCTTGGATATGTGTCATGGTAAGTTTGAACCAGGCCAGGGAAGCTGAGCTGTCCCCACTCCAGTTCCTCTGGAGGCTGTATGTGGAGATTGTCTGAAGGTTGGGCAAGAACAGGCTCATATCTCATTGTCCCGTACCTCGTCCAACCCTCCCTGCACCAGCAGAAACACCAACCAAAAACAGGGCTCTGGAAAGGCTGAAAAGGCTCAGAAGCTTTGGAGGAAGGGCAGTCAGTGCCCAGCAGCAGGTCTGTGCTCAGGCTGGTCCCTTCCCAGTTTGACTGTGTGGCTGTCTACCAGTTCAGCACAATGGATGGGCTCAGCTCCTCAAATGGGTACAAACGGGCTGTTGGCCAGGCGCTGGAGGCTGTTCCAACACAAGGATTTATGGTGAGCTCTGGGAGGCTTGGAGGGGGTTGTGTCTGGCCCCTGGAGAGAGGAGCAGATGCATTGTGCAGCCCTGCTGTTCTGGGCCAGCATCTCCCTTCCCTGCTTGTGCTGGATGGATGCCATGGAGCGGGAAGCATCAGTCAAGACTGCTCTCTCACATATCCATACCACTCCCTCCCTCCATGCATGCATTAAACCTTCAGTGGAGCAGAATTCCACCACTTTATTCATCTCATCCCTCGGGCTGCCAATTCAAGTAGCATTTCCCAGCCTGGACCCAAGGGGTTAAGGTGGGTTGTTAACTTCAAAGCTGGGCTCTTTGGGGATCTCAGCAGTGTGGGTTATGGACATCCTCACAGGCAGATCCCTTCTCTCCATGCTGTGAAGAGCAGATGTGGCATAAAAACTTCCTTTTTGGGAGGGCATGATTAATCTTTGCTTCTTGGAGGATGACAAATATATTATATTCACTGACATGCACACGCATTCTCCTCTGCTGATGGGTGACCCCTGTCTTAATGCCAAGCGTGTGAGATCCAGCTCTGTAAACGAAGAGGAGAGCTCTGCAAGCTCATTAATGCTTTGAAGTTGCTCATTAGGAGCAGATTCCTCGGGAGCTGGCGAGCACAACACCCTTTGTGAGCATGACTTCATTTGATATTAATGTGGGTGCTGCAGCTGGAGGCATCCAGGGATGCTGTGCTGTGATTCTGCACACACAGACCAGCACGGCAGATTGCTGTGGCTGTAATCAACAGGGTAAAAAGGGAAAGTTTCTGTCCCTTCTTGTGAATTTTCCTCCTGCTGTCAGCAGGACTATGAATAGGCTGACCCAGTCCTCCGCTGAGCCGAGGACATGCAGCATTCCCTCATGAGATGTTTGGAATATTGGTGCCTTTTTTTCCCAGTACCTGTGAATTATCTCTGGAGGCCAGCATGACCCCCCCCAGACAGGAGCTCTATGTCACCCTCTTTTGAGACCAGGAAATATCCCTTTTTGGTGCCTCTCACCTTTCCATCAGCCAATCAGAAGCTCTCCAAGTGGCTCAGCTACCCCAGGGCACAGCAATGAGCAGTCCCTGTGGAAGAAAGGAGGAAATTGCTCTCACCCTGGTGCAGGGCAGGACCAGGACAGCCTGGCTGAGAGGTCCTCCTGCAGACAGAATCCTCTGGTGAAAGGGCTTGGCAGGGTTTCTCTGTGTGAAAACATCCCTGTGTGAAGGTGCTGGCCTGAAAATATTGAGGATGGCTGAATTCAGAAGCAGAAATTATCAGGCTCCTGTGGCTTAAGGGCTAAAGACTTTCTGCGCATGGGCACCTAGGGGTTGTGGGTTTGAATCCCATGAGGTTAAGTAGTGGTGTCTGAGTTTTTTTCTTCTCTCTAGACTATAGTAACAAAGCCGCACCTCATCCCAAAGGAAAAATAAAGCCCTTCCTGTACCACTGTCTGTCACAGCTAAATGCACTAGCAGGGTACCTTATGCAGACAGGAGAAGGTAAGGAGTGGCACCTGGGCTGCAGAGCCAGGGCTTTACCTGTGTGCTGTGTCTGGCTGTCAGAGCTGCTCCCTTCCCCTGAGGACCCAGTGGGGTCAGGAGGGACCTCCCAGAGGTCCCCACCTGCTCCAGGGTCCCTGTTGGCATCACCAGCAGTCACTGTGGTCCTTTCATGAGGATCTAGGATGCACACAGGGGCTGTGCCATTCTTCATGGCCCATGGGACTTGCTCTCTCCTAATGAGATGCTCCATCAGTTGCTGGAGACGTTAAAGAAAGCAGTGAGGGGGGAATGGTGTCTCTGGGCTTGGGAAGTGTCTTGGATTGGGACCCTGAGTGCTTGGTGAGGTGTGAGCTCTCAGGGAGGAGCTGGTGGGCCAGGGGAGAGGCCAGAGACCACCAGGATGGCCGAGTGGTGAAGGCGTTGGACTTAAGATCCAATGGGTGCATGCCCGCGTGGGTTCGAACCCCACTTCTGGTAGGAGCCTCCTTTTCCCCCTGGTCCAAGGTTCCCAGCCCAGCTTTTGGAGCATCACTTCAGAGCAGGGGTGGGATCCTTTTGGAGCATCGCTTCAGAGCAGGGATGGGATCCCTGGCTCTGTGCTTGGGGAGCTGAGCCCATTCCATGCTCCAGTGTGAGGACCCTGGTGGGGCTGGGCCTCCCTGACATCCAGGCTGAATATGTACAGAGGCACAAGGCAGTCCCTCTGGCGCAAAGGCTGTGGATCTCCTCTTCCATGCAGGGAGTGCTGAGACAGTCATAGGCTTGAATCCCACTTGCTCCCAAAATAGTGGCTTGTTTTTCCTGTGGCAGAAATAGAAAAACCTGACTACCCCAGAAGGGGAGAAAAAAAGGTGTTGAGCACTAAATATTTTGGGCAAGTCACAAGGGGAAGCCAGTGCAAACAAGTGGGTTCAGGGAAACAGGTTTGGGGTTTGTGGAGACTGTTCCTTTTATCAGCCCTGCCCCATTACCCCAGACCCATTGCAGACTCACCCAAAGCAAAATTTGGCACTATCTGAGGAAGTATGGCAGTGTCACAACCCCCTGGAAGAAGCCAGCATGGCAGAATGGTGTTCCTCATGCTGCTGGTTAGGTTTGGGAAATGCCTGAGGGGCTGAGAGCTGCTCCTCTGCTGCACAAGGTCGCTGTGCTGTGCTCTGTTTTGGGTCAGTGCCTCCAAATGCTCATAAGGCTTTTGCTCCCTTCCTTGTGTGCATGGATGGGCAGCAGATATTTCCCCCAGCAGAGGGTGAGGCTGCTGGACTCACAGAGATGCTGTCAGGTTTTCATTTGGCTGCTTTGCTCCAGCCCGAGGCCAATCAGAAATGTCCTACTGCTGGGACATGATTTGAAGTGATGGTGTTAATTTGGTTAATTAGGATTCCTGGGAAGCGTGCACTTCTTGCAAATCAGCTTACCATTGTAGTGTCACTGCAAAGAGTTATTTGCTGGTGCATGGGGTTATGTATGAATTTATGATTATGATGTGGGACCATTAATTTCATGTTTGTGGCAGATGATACAGCTCAATTAAAAGTTGCACGTTGAGATCTTTGGCTCTCTCTGATATGTGAGAATCAGAAGGTGGCCTCCAGGAAATCTTAAAGTGCCTTATGAGTGGCCATATAACAAATGGGGCAAGACCCAGAGGAGAGGACAGGGGAGGAATTACTCTGCTCCTCTCCCATTTGATTAGTGCTGGGAGGGAAATTTTGTGCATATCTGCTATAGTTGACTTGTTGCAACTAACCTCAGTCATTAAGTGATGCAAAGAATGACAAACACATCTCTGAGATATCCCAGGGTGTCTCAGCAGCAGTGTGGGTCAAGTCCTTTTCCTCTGGTGGCTTGGAGTCAGGCTCCTGTCTAGTTCATGTGTCAAAGGCATTTGGTGGCCTCTGTTGAGTTCAAAACTGAAATCTCCTCATTTAAGCTTCTCTGTTGATCCATATTCTCAGAGAGCTTGTGTTTTTACTGCCCAAGGGGTGCGGGTTCTGTGTGTTTCAGATCCCTTGAGGGTGCTTATCCTCTTTACAAAACTTTTGGGCAGACAGAGCATCATCGGGGGGCACCAGGAGCTGAGTTAACAGCCTTTGTATGGCACAGCCCACCAGAGTGTAGGGATGGCTGGAGCCAGATGTTAATGTGAGTCAGGACTGAGAGCAAATGACAGACCCCTGTAAGAGTCTGGGGCTGGAGATTTGGGGATTGGAGCAGCAATGAGTCCAGTGACCAGGGTAGGGGAAGGCTGTGGGGACTGATAAGTGAACTGCCTTACACAAGGCCACAGCTTTCCCCCTTCTCGCCCCACATCCTCCAAGGGTCTGACAGAGCTAAAAAAAGAGCATTTCAAAAGCCATTTCCATGCATCATATTTATTAAGACAGTTACTGCAGGTTAAATATCAATAGTTTATTGCAAATGTATTTATTATAGATTAACTATGCAGTATCTGCATCAGTTATGTTGTGGTTAAAAGTAAGCCTCAGTGAAAGGGTTTTAATAATGAATTTGTGTTGAAGTAGTGTATAATAAGTATCTTTAGCAATCTTATTCTCAATTTCATATGACAGTTTTATGTTCAATAAATACCCAGAGATTATTAAAAACATATTTATCAAAGATTAACAGTGATGAAACAGATACAAATTTAAGCTGTTAAGCTCAATATGCATACTTATAATAATCAATTCCTATGTTAAACCACAATAATAGCTTTGTTTAATCTAAATGAAATGGGTTTTTTGATCTTTGTAAGTGTGCATTTTGCTGTGTGGTCTTGGTTGCAGGTCTCAGATAGATCCTAGGACATTTGGGCATCAACTAAATAAAATACTTAGGTAAAAGCAAAACAGTCCTGGAATAAGGCAGGCTGTTTCAGGAACAGGGAGCCAGGTCTTCAAAGGATGTAGGTCAAAGCCAGTTCACAGACAGCAGAGCATCTAGTTTAGCTTACCTCCACTCCATATCCCTGAGAATCCCCATATTCAGTCTAACCTAGAGCTCATACCACCACCTGCAACCATAGCATTTCCGGGGCTGGGGGTCCAGAGCAGCACCTCTCCACTTTACAAGCACAGATGCACCCATAGTTTTGGATACTGAAAGCTGCCACCTGCCTTGCATCCTGTTGTTACCAGCACTTGGAGGCAGAGTGCTAAAATGAGCTAACTGTTTGGGGGATAAACAAAATGTTATTGTTTTAGTGTTGCATGGCTGCTGTTCTAATGGCTGCTGAGTATTGAGGGCTGGTACCTGTGCCTCTCCCTGTGCCTCTGCCTGCACCTGCCTGCAGGTGCTGTTAGCCCTGTCCCAGATGCTCTCTGACTGTGAAAAGTGTCATGGGCTCCCTAGGTGCATTGTGGAGTATTGGTGGCCTTTGGACCAGGGGAGGATTTAGATTCCTGAGTCCTTCTGAGAGCTGGCTGGAAACTCCACAAGGCATCTCCCAGCTGGTCTGGATGCAGTGTCCCATCCCAACATGTGAGGGTGGTTTAATCTTATCTGTGAACTTGCACCTGTACAGCAGTGGAGCTAAGTGCCAAATCCAGATGAGGAAGTGAATCATAGGAACCCAAATTTGAGGGAAACACTGTGTGTCTAAAATGTGAGCTGTGCCATGACACAAGAGGGATGTGGTGCTTTCCTTATACATTGAGAGGTGTCTGCCTCTTGTGATTACAGGATCTTAGAAAACAATCTGAGAGGGATGGACAACTCCCCCACTGCTGCTCAGCAGTATCTCAAGTACAGAGTGATTTTCCATCACTGAATTGTCTGTTGATTTCTTTTCTTTAGGAGTTTGAGAAACAGGCTCAGGCACTGCTGTAAGGGATGCTACTTCTCCACGTTATATGCCATGGAGCAGTTCTGTAGGACCAGGTGTGGGCATGGGGCTGCCAGGAAGGTCTTCAAAGGCAGAACAGAGTCAGGAGATGATGAAGGCAGCTGGGCAGCCTTTTGGGGATGGACAGACCTGTTGGAGAGGTGGTGGCTGAGGAGAGCAGGGAGTTTTTGGCCTGTGTCAGCCACTTGGTGTATGGAGATATGTGTGCTATGTGTGTCTTCTCTCTCTATCTCCTGGTATGGGATCCCATCTGTGCTTGTGACACAGTGTATGGAGCGTGGGTCTGCTTTGAGGGATGTGTGGGACTCAAAAGATGGCCCATATGACCAGGGAAGATCTTTCTGTGCTTTCTGGGAAAGGACAGTGCTGACTCCATGGGATGCTGTAGGGATCCATCATCATATTTTGTCAAGGTCTGGTCTGCATGATGCTTCCAGTGACTATCTGTGTCAGGAGGCTCTGGCTTCACTTTTTGGCCCATCTGTGAAATGTGACCTGAGTGGCTTAGAGGCTCTGTGTGTCCCGGTGCAATCTCTGTGAACATCAGAACAGTTATTTCTGATTATATCCTGAATGAATTTGTCTCCTGCATTTGTTCCCCATCCAAACATTCCCAGTGGAGGATGCTGAGCTGGTATGGCAGAATTTCACATCTTAGCAATGGGCTGCAATTACAGAGGTGGCCAGAGAAAAAAGACAAGCAGGCATGCACCACTGCCTTTAATAGAAGGCAATGATTCTTGTGGGCTCCAGAGTAACATGAGAGATATGGTTTTAATAAATTAGCAGCCTACAAGTAACAATCTCAAGCAATTAAACACTGGAATGAAGGTGTGCACTATGAATGTATTCTGGAGTCGACAAGGGGGTGGCAAGGACAGTTTTTGAGCAGTGAAGAAGGCAAAAATATAACAAAAAATTCCCCAGAGAGCATAGGAGAGCTCTTCTCCCCCTCTCATTTCTATTGTGCATGCATGTGGAAGTCTCATCTTGCTCCCCATCACCCCTCCTTCCTCCTCTGGTTCCCAGGGACCTGATTTGGAGCCTCCCTGAGCTCATTCAAGTCTCTATCATCATTATCACCCTTGTGCCTGCTCTCACCCATGCAGGTAAGGAAATTCCCCTGATGGGGAGGGGATGGTTGGAGGGAAACGTGGGAAGTAACATGGGAATAGTGAAGGTAACTGTGAGCTGAGGAGGGGAACAAAAAAATATGAAATAAAACTGTTAAGCTCCTTGTCTTATATTAATAGCCTGTATGGAATACTCTTTGCCATAGAATTGAATTTATTTCCATTTAAAGCTGTTCTTCTCAATCAATGCTGCTAATAAATAGCTGCTGATGGCCCTGACCCCCTGGGCTGAGGGAAGAATTTATCTTCTGAGCCAATTAAAGGAATTGAACAATTCCTTTTTAATAATACTATGGTTTTTAATAGAAGAAAAAAAAAAAAAAAAGCAAAACAAACCATCCACAAACCCAACAGGAGAGGGAAAGAAATCCTTCCCCTGAGCCTTGCAGGAAAGGGTCAGGCAGGCTTTGCCAGGGTCAGGATTAGATGCTTTAACTTGTCTTGTGAAATTGGAAAGGGAAATAGAGTGTTTCCTGTGAAAGCACAGGAATGCTTTT